TATATATAATTTTATTTTTTTTTACTTATTGGGAGTTGTTGCCCATAAAGAGCATTTCAAAGCAGTCACATGAAAGTCTCCATGTCAACATGTTCAGATGACAGAAGATTTCTAGTTTATTAGCAATCTACACCCAGTCTTGCACGTCTGTGTATGGATTTGGCCTTATGCCTTAACACCCGTTCACAATCACCTGAGCACTAATTACGAACACCTGATGTCACTTACCTGAGCACTACATCTGTTCACTCACCTCAGTAGCTCATTGACTGGTCTCAAGGATGCATACCTTACCACATGCCTCTCCACACCACTCTGGATCTCTGTGGTGCTGTGTCTCCCGCCGTCTTGCTGGATCTTCCTAAAGAGGATTAAGATAAGGACTGTTACTCTTCAGTTTCTAGAGCTAAAGTTATGTTTCAGTTTTAATACTTACCTTTTGAAGCTCTCCTTCAGTTTGTGTAAATAAAGAAGCTCTGAATCGTTCTTCTTGTGTATGCCTCTCTCCAGCCGTGACACATGGCCAGCTAGAGTTTGAGTAATTTCTACTTATTTTAAGTATACTCAGCAATACTCCAGTACATTTTACTCAGTCATGGATTGTAAACTTTAACAATGTACCACTGAGAGAAAAAAAAAATAAATTCTATAAAAGCATGTGGTTCACTTACAAACATGTAAGCAAGTAGACCGCTTGTAATCCCTTTTAAGATAGTATGTCCACTCAGTATAATTAACTAAATAAACACAGAGACCTCAATACTTGGTAGACAATACACAAGGACAGTAACAATCAGTGGATATTGTCATTTTGAGTAGAAAATTAACTCCAGATGTCACAAAACCGCAAGTTACTCAACCTAACAACAAAGCATCCATAAAAGTTTAAACAACTAGAAATTTTTAACCTTGTTAATTATTCATGCCCCAGTGCATGATGGGAACAACACAATCATAACTTTGATATTTAATTAAAGAATCCTTGTAAACCTAACAAACAATTCCAAGTAAAATATACTTATTAGTTAAAACTTCAATTTCTACAAGCTTAAATTGAGTAGCCTACTAATATCGAATTTACTTTTTTTTTTTTCTTCAATTCTTGCCTGAACTAAATTATTTAATGTAGTAATTACATTTGTTCAGCTTAGTAAATATATCAAGTTTTAATGTAAAGTATGTTTTAAATCCTTGTTGTATTAATCTTTTGACATGCCTTAAAAAAAAGTACATGCTACACTAAAGACATACTATAGGCCTACTTGTAAAATAGTTGATTATAATATTAACTGTAGTGTTATTTGTTATTACATTTAAAATTATTATATTTCACTAGTACTAAATTGCAATTTCACCATTACAAATGTGTAATTACAAATATTTTCCAATACAGTATGACACAAGTTTTAATAGAAATTACATAAGTATTTAGTTTACTATAAATGCCAATAGACAATAGAAGCAATTTTGAAACTACACATAAAGATGTATTTAAGTCCTAATTCAGTGGGTCAAAAAAATATTTTTAAAAGTATGGTAATGTGTACATCTTTTTCACAATCACAAGTAAATTATATTTTTTATTAAGTACTTTTATTAATATTCTTTTGAAGTATAAATTATAATATTATATTATAATTATATTATTATATATATTATAAGTACTGTTGGTTATAGTATGGCAAAGTGTATACATTTTTCACAAGGGCTGAAAAAAGTACTGTAATTTTGTTTTTTTTTTGGTATAATAATCTGAGTGAAAATACTCTCTGTGTGCACCCTAACTGTGCTGCAATTTGAACATTGCTCATCTAAGATAAAAGTCCTCTGCTAAATGTCAAGGAACTAAGAAACATCATTCCTTTGACCTTTGGACCACTCTGATCTTCAAAGGCCACAGAGCACCCCAAAATGCAAGACACTTAATTTTTACACAATAAAGACTGCATGCCACATTTCTGAATGCATCAAAATCTCACAAATGAACTCTGTGCGGAATGGAAAATAAAAACAGGCTTCAGAAAATTCATATACCGGAATTCAACTGAGCGAACATAAAAGGTTCTCTAAAAGTATTTTAAAATAGATTGCTTATATTGTTTTCAGCTTTTATGACACATAATAAACACTAAGTTGGAAGTCATCCATTTGCAGGATGTATGACCTAGTTCTGTGTTTAAAAGTAGTGGTTCTGAGTGAGCCGTCTGTGCTAAGAGCCGCTGAAAATGGAGTGAGAGGTCTCTTATATTTTATTTAGGTTTCTCTGTGGGGCACTGCCTCGACGCAAACCTCAAACCTTCAGCCCTCTGACATATTACATTTAACAAATATGTTCTGCATGACAGTTTTAGCACTTTTCATTGACAACACAACGTGTATCAGAATCTGAATCAGAATTAGCTAAGGAATTTGTTGTGTTTTTTAGGAGCTCTTGGTACAAACACATTCTTACATACTTTATATGACATTGAGAACAGAAAGAACATTTAAACATTTTATGCCTAGATGTTTTAGTGCACAGAGATCTGTAGCGTCTGCCTGAAGGGAGAAGTGCAAACAGCCGGGGTGAGAGGGGTCTGTGATGATGTTACCTGCCCATTTCTTCACTCTGTAGTTGTACAAGTCCTGAAGGTTGGGTAGGTGCACACCAATTATCCTTTCACCTGTCCTAACAGTCCGTTGCAGTCTTCTTATATCTGATTTGCTGGCTGACCCAAACCAGACAGTTATAGAAGTGCACAGAACCAACTCAATAACAGCGGAGGAAAACGGTGTCATCTGTGCCTGTGGAAGGTTGAACTTTTTCAGTTGACAAAGGAAGGACAACCTCTGCTGGGCCTTATTCACAATAGAGTCAAGGTGATTGTCCCACTTCAGGTCCTTGTGAGATGGTGGTGCCCAGGAACCTGAATGACTCCACTGCAGCCACAGTGCTGTTCATGAGGGGGAGTGCGGGGGGGTTTCTCCTGAAGTCACAATCATCTCCACAGTTTTGAGCGTGTTCAGCTCCAGGTTGTTGTGACCGCACCAGACAGCCAGCTGCTCAACTTCTTGTCTGTAAGCAGACTCGTCACCGTCCTGGATGAAACCAATGACTGTGATATCATCTGCAAACTTCAGGAGCTTGACAGCGGGGTATTTAGAGGTGCAGTTATTTATGTAGAGGGAGAAGAGCAGTGGGGAGAGCACACACCCCTGAGGAGCTCCAGTGCTGATGGTATCAGGAAGCTGGTGATCCACTGACAGATGGAGGTGGGTACAGAGAGCTGTGTCAGTTTAATCGTGAACGTACCTGGGATGATGGTGTTAAAAGTGGAGCTGAAGTCCATAAACAGGATCCTTGCATGGTTTGTCCAGATATTGGAGGATGTAGTGCATTCCCACTTCAGGGGGTCTCCCTATATCTCCATATTCAGTGTGTATTGGGCCTGTTTGTACAAGGCTTTGGCGAAGCTGTTTGAGTTTTGCACTGAACCTAGGTTTGTCGTTGTTAAATGTCAAATAAGTCCTGGTTGGAACACGTATGTCCTCACAGAAACTGATGTAGGATGTCACAGTGTCAGTGAGCTCATCCAGATCAGTGGCTGCAGCCTCAAAAACACTCCAATCAGTGCAGTGTAAGGAACCAGCATGTACTAGGCTCCTCATTCACTCTGTTACTACAGACAAATGTCCACCAGAGGGCGCCAAAACACTGGTTTTCACAAACTCCCTGAGAGAGAGAGAAGAGCGAGAGAGAGCAGGTGTTAATCATGGTTAACTCTAAACTGACTCACTTTATCTTTTCATTTATTTAGATGGATTTTATTTATTTGTTATATAGGTTTTTATTATTATTATTATTTATACATATGTTAATGCTTTGGCAACATTGTGTTACCCAGTCATGCTAATAAAGCTTAATTGAACTTGTGTGAGAGCGAGAGAGAGAGAGAGTCAGTGATAAACAATATGATGTAGTTCAGTATAATAATGAGTTTGATGATTTAAAGAATGGAATGGTTTATAAACTTTTTATAAATATTCAGTGAATCTATGGATGATCAGTTATAAATGTTGTTAATGAATGCCCACTGTTATTTAATCATGAAAATAACATGTTTTAAATCCTTGCATAAGTTTTTAAAATCAAAAGTTGTGTCTGTTAACATTAGTTAATGCACTGTGAACTAACATGAACAATGAACAACTGTTGTTTTATTAACTAACACTAACAAAGGTTAATACATGCTGCAAAAATATATTGCGCATAGTTCATGTTAACATGAAATATTAACAAATTAGTTAAATGAGATTTTATTGTAAAGTACATTGCCGTTAATAAATAATGTTATTAATGCTCATTGTACTGATGAATGATCAGTGTGTTGATGAACATCACTTGTTTATGAATGCTTAGCTGATTATAAATCATCAGCGCGTTTAATGATTGTTCAGTGTTATGGATTTATAGTGTGTCGCCTGAAAGTCCAACAGGGGAAATTTGGCCGCTACAGACTTCAGTGCCTGTATGTTGACACAATCTGTCTATTTCTGCACGTAGCCTTGAGATTTAATAATAAGAAAGCCTATAGGTTGGACAATGTGTGTGTGTTCATAATGGAGCCTGTTGGCCAGAGCAGTCCACACAACCACAGGAACACACAGACAAGAGGAAATGAACCTGCCATATGCTACTGTGCATTTCTTCCCTTTATGGTTCTCTCTCTCTTACACACACACACACACACTTGTGATGCTCATCTTGTTGCTATTGGCAGTGCAGAATTTTTCTTGGACACTGAGGTTTTTCATAGCTGCACTTGTGAAAAGGAACTATACTTTAACATACTTTTAAAAATAGTATTTATTACAGAAATAATATCCTTTAAAACAATATACATAAGTGTGAAATCGGACATTTAATAGTATGTTGTTTACATGAAAGTTAAAATGTATTATAATTTAAATTGGTCACACTTTAGTTTGGGGCCCAATTCTCAATATTAACTATGACATTTGCCTCAATAAACTCATAATTTGCTGCTTATTAATAGTTAAGGTAGTTGTTAAGTTTTGGTATGTTATAGGATTAAGGGATCTAAAATTTGGTCATGTAGAATAAGGCATTCATATGTGATATATAAGTACTAATAAACAGCCAATATGCCAGTAATTATACTAATAAGCAACTACATTTAAAGTTATATTAAGTGCAATTAGTTGAACCTAAGAATGCTGTTTTGACCCACTTGTGTAGGACATCTTTATAAATATAATTTCATAATTCTTTGATATTCTTTGAAATATGGTTAATGTGCTAAATCAGTGGCGTGCACTGATTCCTGATGGGGGGTTCGGGTGTGCTCGAGCCCCTGCCCCTTTAATCGCCAACGCTAAAGTGCACTTTTGGTCTGATCTAGGTGCTGCGAGTACATATACTTTTAAGATTTGAAGTGCATTACAAGTGCACGTTCTATAAAATTAAGTATGTATTTGTGACACTGATATTTAAGATAATTATTTCTAAGAATATTTGTTTCAAGTGGTTATTTTTTTAGGTAATTTTTTCATTTATTAAAATTATTGTTTTGTTCACTGCAATTTTTTGTTGGTTTGATTAGGTTGTTTATAGAAACCTGCATGTGGAGGCATTTTAGTGAGCAGCGTCATTTCAGTCTTTAAATACCTGATCTCTCATTCCAGCTGAATTGTGCACCGCTAAATCTTACCAACAGATCCACAAGATGGCTTATCTTTGCCCCACAGAATTCACACAATAGCAATAGAGAGACAGCAGAGATAAACGGGGCCCCACGGCACCATAAGAGCCGTGGGGTGGAATGCATACATTAACATTAAACAGCAATATATTACAGTGATAACAGTCACCGCGGTGACACTGGAATTTGTTTTGACTTGAAAAGAAATAAAGGCCTTGGCACAGCAATTCAGGTGGAGATGGAGGGATTTTCAACAACAAAAAAAGAGCTCCTTCAGTAATTGGTATGTGCAGTGGTTCCCTTCCAAAGGCAGCCGGTGGCACCTTATTGATCTCCAGTTTAAAAATGCCATGCCAACCATGAAGGATTGTGCAACTTTTGTGTCTTTTAGCTGGTTGTTTTATATGGAGATTAACATGCATGGGTGACAGCTAGGGG